ACTGAGCCACCTAGGCGCCCTGCCAACACCACTTTTTAATGCAAACCCTTTAAAATGCAATATACACATTTAACGTATCAAATTCTTACAACCTCTGTCAAGGCCCTCTGAATATTTTAATTATATTTATCCCTTTCCACATATAGGTTACTATGGTCAGGAATTTTATTTTCTTAATAAACTCCATTTTGGAATAATTTTAGATTTACAGAAAAGTTGCAAATGGAGCCCAGTGAGTTCCCATACGCCCTTCACCCAGTTTCACCCAATGGTAACATCTTCTAGAACTTTGGTACACGTGTCAAATCTATGTGATTAACACTGGCACATTTACTTTTAACTGAGTGCCAAACGTCATTCAGATTTCACCAGGTTTTCCACTAAAGTCCTTTTACTGTCCAGCATCCAACCTAGGGCCCACACTGGATGTAGTTGTCATGCTTCTTTAGTCACCTCTGGTCTGTGACAGTTTCTCCGACCGTGACAGTTCATAGGAGCACTGGCAGGCAGGTTCTTACATTTGGGTTTCTCTGTTTTCTGGAGGCTTAGACTGAGGTTATGTACTTTGGGAAAAATACCACAGAGGCGACATGACCTTCTCATTACATCATCTTAGGTAGTACATGATAGCAGCTGGTGTTTTGAATCTTCATTACTTGGCCAAGGTAGTGAGTGCCTGCCAGGTTTCTCCCCAGTGAAGCTATCATTTTTCTCTTTCCATACTCTGTTCTTTGGAAGCGAGCCCCTATGTATAGCCTACGTTGGAAGGAGAAAGGGGTTGTTAAGCTCCATCTCTTGCAGTGGGGTATATCTACCTATATTATTTGGAATTCTTGTGTAGGGAAGATTTGTTTCCTCCTCTAATTTATTTATTCAATTATTTTGTTATATCAGTATGAACTTATGCATACTTATTTTGAATTCTGTGTTATAGTCCAGTCCAACATTATTTCGTTTGTTGCTCAAATTGTTCCAACGTTGGCCACTGGGAGCTCTCTTGGGTTGATTCCTATGTCCCTTTGATATGACCTGATTCTTTTGATTTTAAGGGCGCTTCTTTACTTTCTGGCATTACAAGATGCTCCTGGCTCCCCTTTGTCTCTTCCTCCCATGACAGAGCACACCAGCCTCTAGTTTATAGGTAAGCCCAAATCTTCTCTCCTCCAGGATGGAAGCATTTCACACCTCCTAGATTCAGTGCCTGGGATTTGACCCCCTCCCTGTCCAAACCATAGCTGAATTTGGATTGGATCTTAGACATTTTGCTGTGCTTTAGGGCCCATCGCTGGAGTCCTATCGAGGCCCCATGATCACCTACCTGGTCCCAATGTCTTCTTTCAGCCTTGCTGTCCCATGTGGCTGGCCCTAGCCTAATATTCAAGACCACCCATGTTCTGAAAAGAATGATTGAGAGGAGAGATCCTGGGCTCCAGTTTTTAATATATTAAGTTTGAAGTATATGCAATATCTAAATACCTCCCACTCTTCACCTTTTACTTTTGATTGAGCAAATGAATATAGCAGGAAATGGTTTCCTTCATTTTCCACAATCCAACCCAATCTTCTGGGATAGGTCCTTTCATCACTTCAGCAGAATTACTGCCTTGTGTTCATAATAGATTACAGCTTTTTTAACCTCAGAAGTTTGCTTTAATCAAAATAATGGTAAATCTTGTCACCCTACCATTTGTCTCTGGATAATTCTAAAAAGTCTTTGAACCTCTTTAGCTCTGCCTAGAGGTCAAGTTCCATTGACAATGACCTGACTCTCTGATATTGGACACATCAGTACAAGTGTCCAAACATTCACAGGTTTTCTTTGGATGTTCCCTCACCCCACCCCAACCTCCTTTCTTTCTTTCTTTCTTTTTTTTAAGATTTTATTTATTAATTTGAGAGAGAAAATGAGAGAGAGCATGAGAGGGAATAGAGTCAGGGGGAGAAGCAGACTCCCCACTGAGCAAAGAGCCCGATGTGGGACTCGATCCTGGGTCTCAATCCTGGGACTCCAGGATCAAGTCCTGAGCTGAAGGCAGTCGCTTAACCAACTGAGCCACCCAGGCACCCCCCCAACCTCCTCTCTTCCAAAATTTTCCTTGAATCTTGGCATACCCCGTGATCTCCCCAAATAAGCCTGCTTTTTTAATCCATTTCAACTCTCTCTGTCTTGTATTAGAATTGTTCTTTTGTGCTTGTGAATTCCCAGGGGGTGGGGATCAGGCCTTAGCCATCGTTGTCTCCTCCAGCTGCTACTCCATCAAGTTCATTATACCTGAACATCACACACAACTGAACCAGACTTGAACTGACTTGATAGTACTGCACCATCCAAGTACTTGGCAACAGAACACAACAAAACATCCTCTGGACTTCTAGAGTCCTTCTGCATCCAGCATTGGGGAAATTGGACCCTGAACCATATCCATCCCAGATCTGGGAGTGAGGCTATGGCAGGCCGGCATCATCAACAGCATCAATGGGGTACTCTGCCTTCTCCCGCGCTAGAGAGCTGGGTACCTCTTCTGAAGACCCTGCTCACGATGCCAAGAAGAAAGAGGAACTGACCCAATGAAAACAAGCAGGAGAGTTCTAGGTAAAGAGAAGCAGAAATCTTTTGCAGGACCCTTTCCTCACTTTACCCATTTTGAGCTATGGAGTTTGGAAGATGCATTTGTGGAGGATGAAAACCAAAGGGATGAAACTGAAAAGTCAGGGGAGTGGTGGTTGAAGAAAGTGGCCCTGGTTAAGGATCTCAGGTCCACGTCAATGCATCTGGAGGCAGATGCTGCACCGCACTACTCCAATGTCTTCCACGGAGCCTCAGGTGCTCCCCCTCTCACCTGGTAGCCCCCCCAGCTGCTGGTGACCTCCACCCTTGGACATTTTTCCAATAAACGTTCTTGGACAAACTGGAGATGACTGTACGGGATACTGTATAGTATGCTGAAGACACCTCCCCACTGTCTCTCCCCTGACCACAAGGGCCTCTCACACCACCACCAAGTCGACAGGAGCACTCTCATTGTTTTAAGGTGTTTGTTTTGACTCTATAGCCTGGAATGGGTGGGGAGAGGACAGAAATGGGTGTAGAAAACTAGAGCCCTAGTTCCTTTTGTTTTGCTCAGTGAGAAGGGGGGAGAAAGAAAAGAAGGGGGGAATATAAATTCTCCTGCATCCATGGAAACGAAGGCTATACCACACGAGAGGGTCCGGTAACCTTTTTAAGTTCACTGCCCACGTTGACACCCAAGCTTTTCACCATTGATTCCTCTGACTCCTCCATCAACCTCGAGTTAATTTCCAGAAAAGGACTGAACGGTGTTTTGGGACAAATGAAAGAGCAGCTCCGCTAATGGATCCTTCAGTGCCACGTGCTCCTATCCTGTGCACTCCTGTACTTCTAGTCTTCCCCGCCCCCACTTTTCCTTTTGTTTCGTCTGCCTCTGTCTCTACTGATTCGGTCAAAGTCAATAATAACTGTAAAGTGTAAATGAGTTTATTATATTCACTCTCTGCCACTATATCCAGAGGAGGATTATGGAAATAAAACTGAGGGGTTGGAACTCCCCTGTCAAAAGACTTATACTTTGGGCTCTGGGGCTACTTCCTTCCTGTTAAACTAAAGGCTTTCCTCTACTGTTTCTTAAATTCCAAGGATGGGGGGATGGTGCCAGTGAGAGAAATACCTGTTGACGTTTGCAACCACTGTGGGGGAAAAGCTGCAGAACCCAGAGTCTGGACATCATATATACTCTCTGGAGAATTATAGGTCTTCTCAACTTCGGATCTTTCCAGAGGAGGTGTATGAATGCTCCTTTTCTGCATCTCAGTCTCTCTGGCATGTTCCAAGAATTTATTTTTTTATTTTTTTTAAAGATTTTATTTATTTATTCAACAGAGAAAGAGAGAGATCACAAGTAGGCAGAGAAGCAGGCAGAGAGAGGGAGAAGCGGGCTCCCTGCTGTGCAGAGAGCCGGATGTGGGGCTTGATCCCAGGACCCTGAGATCATGACCCGAGCTGAAGGCAGCGGCCCAACCCACTGAGCCACCCAGGCGCCCCTGTTCCAAGAATTTAGACCAGTAATTCTGAAAGGGACCCCAATCCAAACAGATCAAGAAGTCATTATCCTTTCTACTTCACCAAGCTCCAACCCCAGGTGTCACAAGACTTAACTTCATCCTATCAGATAAGCCCAGTTCTCATTTACCCTCTGCCTTGAACCACAAAAGCATCCAGATCTGGGCAGCAGTCTTTGATCCACTGCTACCCAGTTCTGAAGTAGTACCTCTCACTGGCCACTGGTGCGGACACATTCACATCTAGGACTCTGGACACCTCATAGCTTGGGATGGAAGTGGCACGGGGTATAGAAGCATGGCATAGATATAGGGGGCTAGAAGTTCAGAATAAAAAGGCTGTTTAAATGCATCAGCTCTGGGTTGAATCCCAGTTACATCATTTACTGTTCGTTTGTCAAGGGACCCCTCTAATCCCGAGTCTCCTGGCATGTGAAATGGAACTAATAATGCCATCCCCTTCAAAAGCTGTCTTTGAGATTAAATGAGATAATGCATCTACAACCTTTTGCACAGTACCTGGCAGACGCATCCTGAGTATTCAGTTAGCTATCATTATTAGCCTTGTGATACCCCGTGCAAATCATAGAGCCTATTTGGGTTCAATCCGGGCCGGTGCAAAACGTATGAAAGCAACCGCCCTGCCTTCCTCCAGGCTTGTAAGGATTAAAAGAAGTGTTCATCCACACTTTACTCACAATCCCAGCGGGAGAAAGACCGCGATTGCGTAGGACCTCGAGTTTGCGGAGGGCTTGTGGGCGTGGCTTGAGCTTGAGTTTGCAAGCAACGACGGGATTGGTTGAAGAGAGGACTCGAGTCCTCTCGGGTCCCGCCCTAGACCTCACTGCGCCTGCGCACGTTCTGTTTGCTTCACAGCGAAGCTACCTGGTGACATTGGAAGTGTGTCGCGCTCTTGTCGCATCTGCGTCAGCGGCAGTTGCCGCGGCTGCGTGGAGGGTTGTCCAGGTAACGACGGGAGTTGTCGCTTACTGGTGGCATCAGAGAGACAGCTGTTCGTCGTGCAGTTGAAGCACCTGAGGACCCTGCTGAGCCCTCAGGTGGGGAGTTGCGTGCCTCTTCCCTCCCTCGCCAGCCTTAACGTTCTCAGAGAAGTGGGAGAACTGAAATCTCACGATGTTGAGCGCCTACTGCATGCGGAATCTCTGCTCGGCCGGTAGTGTGCAGTAGTCAAGACGGACCGCCAACCTCGGTAGCTTTCATTCCGTTTCATTTGACAGCAGTTGTGTAGGAGGCCCCCTGCTGGGCGCACAGGGAAACAGCGAACCTAAGTCTGCGCCCAGATAAACAAGCGCTTTAGGTAAAAGCCCCAAAGACGGAGTGCGGAAGACCTCACGTTCGTTCTGATGATGAAGATCTCCGATTCGGAAAAGGCTGGGCACCGGGGGAGGAACCATGCTGAAGAAAGGCTGGGTTTTGGAGCTAGGAGACCAGCTCTCAAGTCCTAGTGCCAGCTCCACTTTCAATAAATGGTCCAATCCCGCTGACTTGAAGCCCTCGGCACACAGTCTCTGAGCGCCCACCCAACTGCTTCATTTGGAAAATGGGAGTAACAATAATAGCAACCTGAGTGGGTTTGGAGGAAGAGTTAAAGTCATGTGCGCAAAAGCCTTCGCGAACTAAAAAGCCCTGTAGAAACTGATAGACGAAAGAGAACATTCAAAATCTAAAGGATAGACTCATACAAAGCTAATGATTGTATCTGCCATAAGTGAACGTTTCCTATGTAGCAAGACAGCATAATTTCAGGAGTTAGGATTGTGGTTTGTGGAGTCAGACATACGTGGATTTAAATCTTGGTTCCACCCCCTTACAAACTGTGTATGTAAATTTGAGTGTATTACTTCAATTTTCTGAACCTCAGGTTCCCCATCTGTAAAATATGCATATCTGTCTCAGCGTTATGAAGTAAAAGGACAATGCATATTGAGCATTTATCAAAATGCCTAGTCTATGGTAAGATCTTGTTAAAGGTTAGTTTTTATTATTCTACTCCCTGCCCCCATTGAATCCTCAGACAGTGCTGTGAGGAATGAGGAAGGCTTCACAGCGAATGTGGTATTAGAATAGAGGGAAATTAGAACAAAAGAGAGAAGTGCTCATTGCTCAGGAAACTGCCCCCGAAATTGTAATTTAAAAATTCCTTTACCCTAATAGAATACTTGGAAGTGAAAATCCCCTTCAGTCTTTCAAAATAAGATGTCATGATGCAGGGTAGGGCAAAGGCCCAGGATTGGCAAAATGATGAAGGAAGATGATGAGCAAGGAAAACGAGGAACCCTCAGCCCTTCAAACCTAATTTAATCAAGCGGTGGAGGGGGTAAAGGTGGTGGTGTGGCTATTTTCTGACTCTGAGGATTTTGATGGAGGGGAGAAAAAAAAAAGGCCTTTTAAACCTGGGACTTTGGAGGTAGGTGGGTTAGGAGTGATAAGAAACAAAGTTTCAAACCAGAGCTCTGGAGCCCAAGTAATTAATCACACAATTGGAGCAGAAGCTAAATGTTTTATTTCAAGGAGGGAAGTCCTAAGTGCAGAACCATTGAGGGCCAGGTGGTGGACAGATGTGGAAGAGAATAATGGACTGGGAGATGATCACTTCAAAATTGGACTTCTGAGCAGTGCATAGTTGGGGGGCGGGTGTGGATTTAAACAACAACAACAACAACAACAAAACAAAACACTAAGCTGGTGGCATTTTCTTCCTAAATCTCAACTCTGATTGTTTTACTCCCCATTCCAGAACTTTCACTGTCTTTTTCCTACCAAATAAGCCTAAACTCCTAGGCCAAATTTCAAAGTTTTTATTTGCACTGGCCTCACTGTTTTTCCTGCCTTATTTCGTCTGTTCTATTTGCAAGATAGTTCCAGCTAAATTAAATTACTGTCTCTTAATGAGATTTGCCTTTGCTCCTATCATTCCTTCTACTTCAGATAACTTCCCCCATTTAACTACATCCAATTCTTCAAACCTTAAAGTTGGTCATTTAAAGGTAAAACGATTTCAGGCTTCTCCAAAGTATCATGGTGCTTTCTACATGCCTCTCTAATGGGATTTTTCCTGTTTTGCACCATGTTATTAGCCTGGGGGCAGGGACCGTATTTTGCTCTTTGTCTTCCTCTCAGCCCCTGGCTACATGCCTTTCTCAGTAAGGTATTCAAAAAATATTGAATGAGGAGTGCCTGGGTGGCTAAGTCATGAAGTGTCTTCAGCTAGGTCATGATCCAGGGTCGTGGGATTGAGCCCCACATTGGGCTCCCTGCTCACTGGGAAGTCTGCTTCTCCCTCTCCCGCTCCCCCTGCTTGTGTTCCCTCTCTCGCTGTCTCTCTGTCAAATAAATAAATAATACCTTTAAAAAATAATATTGAGGTGCGCCTGGGTGGCTCAGTGGCTTAAAGCCTCTGCCTTCGGCTCAGGTCATGATCTCAGGGTCCTGGGATCAAGCCCCGCATCGGGCTCTCTGCTCAGCGGGGATCCTGCTTCCTCTTCTCTCTCTGCCTGCCTCTCTGCCCACTTGTGATCTCTGTCTATCAAATAAATAAATAAAATCTTAAAAAAAAATTATATTGAAAGAAAAAAAAATGTATATATTGAATGAATGGCTGAAGACCAGAACCTGTTAAAAAAAACAACTTATCAAACCAATTGAATTTATTTCAGTTGAGCTATAAAGGAGCAAGGCCATTGCAGGGGCACATTGGTAGAGTTGATTCTGCGTGTCACCTTGAAGTGTATTTGCATTATGGGTTTCTAAAGCACCTTGTTCTCCTGGGCCAGGGTTTTATAGCCTTAGAGACCAGGATGCATCTTTTGTTTTAAGGACTGTGATGTAGAGAATTGACCAAAGCCACACTAGAGCTAAAGGAACTAGAAATGCTTTTGTCGCTCTAGACGAACAGCTGGGCTTATTTTTGCCCCCTCTGCCTCTGCAGGATGGAGCTGCAAAGGTGACCTGCATGGCTTGGTCCCAGGACAATGCCAAGTTTGCCGTCTGCACAGTGGACCGAGTGGTGTTGCTATACGATGAACATGGGGAGCGGAGAGAGAAATTCTCCACCAAACCAGCTGACATGAAGGTGAAGAGAGTACTCTGTGTGTCCTTAACGTGTTCATGGGGTCTTAGGAATCTGGAAAATTTCCTAACTAACTTCCCCAGCCATCTGCCTAGGAAATGGCCTGCCCCATCTTTTCTCAGGATAAATCCCTCACGCTCAATACAGTCACACAAACACCTTTTCTTCTCTTTTCTCTACCATGTGTACTCATGACTTTTTTTTTCTTTTCCTTTTTTAACTCTTAGTATGGCAGGAAGAGCTATATGGTGAGGGGCATGGCTTTTTCTCCTGATTCCACTAAAATTGCCATAGGACAGACCGACAACATCATCTATGTGTACAAGATTGGTGAAGATTGGTGAGGATAGAGGCTGAGAGGTGGGGGTGACCTGGAAAAGAAGGGGAAGGCAAGAAGAAATGTCTCACTGGGGAAAGGGGAGTAGAGAAGATGATGGTCCAGGCTGGGATGTGGAGAGCAAAGGCCTTCCCGAGTGTGTTGCTGCTTCCCTCTCTGTGCCTGCCTCATGTGTTGTGAGATCCCATCCCTGGTGGAATCAGCCTAAGATCAGCGTGGGGACCTGTGTTGGGAGCCCTTGGTGATACAGGATCTTTGTTCCTGTTCCAAAACTGCTGGGGCTCCATTTTATGCTTCCTTTCAAGGCTCCTATGGAACGGTAGGAAACATTAGGGGGAGCAGGGAACCTATCTGGTCTTTCTTCCCTTCCCCCAGCATCACGTGTGGCACTTTCTTTATGAACGTATTTTTAATATATTTTCCCTCCTTTCATTTGGCAGGGGTGACAAAAAGTCATCTGTAACAAATTCATCCAGACAGTAAAGTTCAGACCTATCTCTGGAAGATTTGGATGAGCAAACATATATCAATATAGCTACTATATTAAATATAGTAAATGTAAGCAGAAGTTGCATTTTTAACTTGTCCATCTGACCTTTCCATCTGGGAGGACGGAGGATGGTGCTGCGTGGCTGCCCATCCTCCTTGCTTTCCTCCTTGAGCCCGGCTGTGTCCTCTTCTCTGCTGTAGGTGACTGGGTGGTGGCATGTGACGGGGGCTTCAGTTTGTTATAAATGCGCTGGGCGACATGGACAGGGTTATCCTTTTCATGATTTCCTCCTTGCAGAGTGCTGTCACTTGTCTGCAGTGGCCAGCAGAGCACAACATTGTTTTTGGACTGGCTGAAGGGAAGGTAAAGGAGGAAGAGAAACAGGAGAGGTCGTGGGTGGCGATAATGGTTCTCTAGAGAGAAGTATGGTTATTTGTCTCCCTTAGGGTCAAGTTATATATTGGGGGAGAAAACGGAAGGACCAGTTTTTTGTTATTTCTTTTTCTTTCCTTAGGATCTGGGTGGGATTGAAAGGAACCTAACCAGACTTGTATCCATTTTCCCATTTTCAGGTTCGTTTAGCAAACACTAAAACTAATAAATCAGCTACCATCTATGGGACAGATTCTTACGTGGTGTCACTGACAACAAAGTGAGTAAGGAAGAGCAGTATCCCAAGCGTGGAGATGTAGGAAGAAGCGATGGGGATGTCGGGACTGGGAGACTATAATATGGAAGATGGGGAGGACTGGTAGCAGGGAGCCCAGGTAGGGTAATGTTTGACACAGAAGCGGGATTTCTTGGTGAGACAGAGTAATCTCTTTCTTCCTCTTCCTCTTCCTTTTAATTCACTCACTTTTTTAGTTCCTCTGGGAAAGGAATTCTCTCTGGTCATGCAGATGGCACCATTGTTAGGTATTTCTTCGATGATGAAGGCTCTGGAGAGTCACAGGTATGACTAAAGGATGCTGTGAGATGGGGGTAAAGAAACCTAAGATCCCTCCTAGGGGAGGTTGCACATTAAGATTGAGGTGGTTGGCGGGAGGCACATTTTGATGCAGCCACAGAGAGAATTTTTATTCAGGAGGCCAAGCTTAATATTTGTGGGCAAGGAGGAATCGAGTGGAAAGGATTCTGAAAGTTAAGGGAGAATGAAAATTATCCTTATCTATGTAAAAAGTGTATTTATATGTATAAATGCATAGAAAAAAAAGTCATTCTCAAGAGAGAAAAGGGAAAGGGTGGGGGATAAAAGGAATGTTTATGTTTTACTTGATGTAATTCTGTATTGTTTGAATAACTTACCTTAAGAATTACTTGTAGAGGAGGGCCTGGCTGGCTCAGTTGGTGGATCATGTGACTCTTGATCTCAGGGTTGTGAGTTTGAGCGCCACATTAGGTGTAGAGATGACTTAAATAACTAAAACTTAAAAAAAGAAAAAAAAAAAGAAGTAACCCCTTTCTGCCTGGGTGACTTTCTCCAAACTAGGAAAAATCCGGCCTTAGCCTAAAGCACTCTCCCCTGAAACTAGAGAATCTCTTCTTCCCTTTTGACTCCAACCTAAAAATATGACATTAAAGTCAGGAAATAGAAATTCGTACTTTATTGGAAGCCAAAAGAGATTAAAAAAAAGAATTACTCATGTAATAATTAAATTTATTTCTTGTGTGAAGAAAGAGTTGTATGCTCCGTGTGGACCTACCCAGTGTTAGTTAATGTGTAGGATATGTCCCTTTGGGGGCCTTATAGGTGTTTACTAAAGAACTCAACATACAAGCCTTTTGAGGTTTCCTCTTGAGGACAATGTCAGACGTGTGTGTGTATGTCATACATATGTGTGTAAGAGTATAAAACCTAAAGACAGTTTGTGAAGTTCTCCAGATTAGGATGTGTTGGGGTGGGAAAATGTTGGGAGGAAGATTTATACAGGGTGTAAATTTTTCCTAGAAAGGAAGAATCCCTGGCTGAGGCTGTCAGAGTCAGAGCAATTGGAACCCTTTACTTCTGTCTTAGGGGAAGTTGGTTAACCACCCATGCCCACCCTATGCCTTGGCTTGGGCAACCAACAGCATCGTGGCTGCAGGCTGTGATCAGAGAATTGTAGCCTGTGGAAAGGAAGGCCACGTGCTACAAACTTTTGATTACAGCCGTGACCCTCAGGAGCAGGAGTTCACCACCGCTGCTGCAAGCCCTGGGGGCCAGTCTGTTGTGTTGGGAAGTTATGACAGGTGGGTCCCTTTCCATGTGCATCTTCTGCCTACTTTCCCTGAGTACAGCTTGCTCTAGCCCAGTTATTTTCAGCCAGAGTGGGAGAATGGTTGGAAATCAAGTGTAGGTTGAAAGAGATCCTCAGGTTTTAATTCACTCACTTCCCTTTTCCTGCTCCCACCATCTGTTGGGACTCTGGCCTTTCCACAATACACCAGGATTTTGTGTCTCTGTGCCTCTGCCTGGGACTCCACAGTGGAATTCATCTCCACTCTCTTTGTATTACCATTGCCTCTTTTCAGACCACTGGCTCAGTGTTTGTCGCATGATATTACACTTTGGTGTTTGTAGTTATCTGGCAAAACTGAAATGCCCTTGAGAAGAGGGCCTGTTCGTTTTTTTTTAAATCTCCAGTGGCTAAGTTAGCATCCAGTACATAATGTATGCTTAAATGTTTGGTGAAGGAAGAAAAGGAAGGAAGGAAGGAAGGGAGGAAGGAATGGATGACGGAAGGGTAAAAAAAATAAATAAAATAAATAAAGGGCCCCGGTCCCCTCACATCAGCTTTATTAGTCCCGTCCTTTTATCCCCTTCGATGTCATGTGGGTCTCTTCCTTCCTTTTTCTCTGTTTCTTTTTCCTTATTTCTCCCTTGCTAACAGCTCATTTTTCTCACCAGCCATGATCTCCTTTTGTTTTCTCCACCCCTATCACTCTCAAACCATTTTACTTTTGGCTTGATTTTCCCAACTTCCTTCCTTTGAACCTTTTTGTCCTCTCCTATGAGATTCCCTAGCATGTGTGTTCTCTTTCACTTCCTTTCTTCTCTAATACAGCGAAACTCATTGCCTTCATTTACCCACCCATTTCCACCCTTTTGCTCAGTCTCCATCTCTTCTGAAATCCATCTCCTTAATTTCAGACTTCGGGTACTCAACTGGAGCCCTCGAAGAAGCATCTGGGAAGAGGCAAAGCCCAGGGAGACTGCCAACTTATATGCCATCACTGCCTTGGCCTGGAAACATGATGGCTCACAACTCTGTGCGGTGCGTTTTACTAGTAATCCCTTTCCGCCTGGGTGACTTTCTCCAAACTAAGAAAAATCTGGCCTTAGCCTAAAGCACTCTCCCTGAAACTAGAGAATCTCCTCTTCCCTCTTGACTCCAGCCTAAAAATAAGACGTTAAAGGCAGGGAAGAGAAATTCGCACTTTATGGGAAGCCAAAAGAGACAAAGAATTCTGTAGGCAGGGCTGATTTCTCCCTTTCATCCCATCACTATCCTTGAGTCCCATGAGTGCCACCTCTTTCCATCTGGTACTTCCCAAAACTGCCAGCCCTTTTACTGCCAACTCTTTCGTAGATTCTAGAACTTGGGTTTCAAAGGTATCTCTAGATATCCTTCCGATGCCTGTTACCTTTTATGTTGTCGCTTTCCCTTCTAGGGCACACTCTGTGGTGGAGTGGAACAGTTTGCTGCCTCCGGAGAAGCATTTATAAGAATAAGTTTGAGTTGACGTGTGTGGGACCTAGCCAGGTAAGCAGCTGATAGCCTACTGCACCAAAATCTCCTTCTAGACACTGCCACAGTGCCAAATTTAACCCCCGGCGGAGCTGTTCTGGAGAACAGAGTGTATCAGGCAACTCTTTGGCAACTTTCCTGCTGTAGCCCTTCCAGCTTATTGTAAGAAAAAATTTAAACACCAAATTTAAGGGGTATAGAGATCGCCACTTCCATCTTCCTGGTTTAAAACTTTACTACCTGGGGCGCCTGGATGGCTCAGTCTTAAGTGTCGGGCTCTTGATTGCAGCTCAGGTCATGATCTCAGGCTTGTGAGATCAAGCACCACAAGGGGCTCCACGTTGGGCATGGAGTCTGTTGAAGATTCTCTCTTCCCCTCTCCCTCTGCCCCACCCATGTCTCCATCCCACTCTAAAACAAAACAAAACAGAAAAAGCTTTATTACCTATATGTTGTTAACTGGGGAGTTTAGGATTACGCAGGTGCATAACATTGCTTTAGGGCCTCTGAACTCACCGTGTATGACATTGCAAGGTAATTTCTTAGTTCCTGAGCCCACTTTTCTGTTTTCTCTACCTCTTTCCTCTTTTCCTTCCATTTATTATTCATTGGTTCCTTCATTCTTTTTCTCTTTTTTTAAAATTTTATTCACTTATTTGACAGAGTTCCCACACAGGAGCAGGGGAAGTCCAGAGTGAGAGGGAGCACTCGGACATGGGGCTGAATGTGAGGCCTGATCCCAAGACCCCAAGATCATGACCTGAACTGAAGGCAGATGCTTAATGTGCTGAGCTACCCTGTTGCCCCCTCTTTTTTTTTTTTTTTTAAGATTTTATTTTTAAATAACTCTACATCCCAGTTGGGGCTCAAACCCACAACTGAGATCAAGAGTTGCATGCTGGGGCACCTGGGTGGCTCAGTGGGTTAGGCCTCTGCCTTCGGCTCAGGTCATGATCCCAGGGTCCTGGGATCGAGCCCCGCATCAGGCTCTCTGCTCAGCAGGGAGCCTGCTTCCCTTCCTCTCTCTCTGCCTGCCTCTCAGCCTACTCTTGATCTCTCTCTGTCAAATAAATAAATAAAATTTAAAAAAAAAAGAGTTGCATGCTCCTCCGACTGAGGCAGCCAGGCACCCCTGTTCTTTCATTTTCTGTCCATTCTCTATACATGAGCACTGTTAGGACAGAGAATACAAAGATAATTGTCTGTATTCTATTGTTCCTTAATCAGGATCATTTTAGCAAAGAGGTATATGAAATGACAGTATGATCAGTATACACCATGATTAAAGTAATCACAAAGATTTTCACAAGAGGTACAGGAATATAAGGAGAGTGATTAGTTTTACCCCGTTTGTATTATGTATTAGCATTGAAGGAGATAATCTGAAAACATTTTGTAAATAGTAAAGCACTGTGTGAATGGGAGGTGTCATTTTTACCAACAATAGCCTAGGCTAGGTGAGGAGACAAGAGACTAGCTTTATTTAACACTGTGGAGGTGGGCACGGCAGGTTCACCCCTATTTGGGATTGAGGGAAGCCTCAGGGAGCTCAGACTTGTAACTTACCAAGGTGATTGTGAAGAACCTGTCATTGGGGACCCGAGTGGTACTGAAGTCACACTATGGCTATGAGGTGGAAGAGGTGAAAATCCTCAGAAGGGAATGTTACCTGGTGGCCCACACATCAGACACATTGCTGGGGGACCTGAACACAAATTGCCGTAGTGAGGTAGGAACCCCAGGCGGAGGCGCGGGGAATGGAGCATCGTGAGCTGCTACTTCCGGGGAGCCTGGGACGCTACGGGGGAAGATCTCTAAGGAAAAGCTCTAAGATGCTGGCGTTGGGGACCTGGTGGACCTGGGAGTGAGACCCTGGAGATTTACAATCCTGAAATGGGAGTTCCCACTGTTGGGCTGTTTTAACAGCATCTCTCAGAAGCCTAGAAGCCTAGGGCAGGATGTGACACAGCACCCCACTTGTGGAACATCAGGGCCTTCCTAAACTCCTTCTCTCTGCCTCCTACTACCCCGTCCTTCTCTCAGCGTTGTCTTGGATACTTACCCACATTGTTCTTATGTCCTCTCCCTCTTTTACAGGTGGCTTGGCAGGGATCTGGTGGCAATGAGAAGTATTTCTTTGAAAATGAAAATGTGAGTAGAGCTTGATTAACCAACCATCACCATCTCAGTAAACCTCCTAGCTAAGAGAGAGTAGATAAAGAAAGAAGGGCAAGATATGCAGAGGAACAGAAAAAAGAGAAAAGTGGGAGTCACTTTGCACTGACAAGACATCTCCCTCTACTACTGTTGACCATGCAGACTTCTTCATGCAAACTTCCCACCACGTGACAGTTCCCTTCATCCCCAAGTGTGCATGATCTTCAATGCTGGAGAGCTAACCCTGATAGAGTATGGGAGTCATGATACCCTGGGTTCTGCACGTACTCAATTCATGAACCCCCACCTCATCAGGTAACCCCACAAGGTTCTCTAAATTTTTGAAACCCAAAAGAAGTCCCTTTTAATCTCTAATTCCTGTATCCTCAAGATTAATCTAAAAACTTCATCCCCTATGGTACTTTGGGCCCTTGCTCAACATCCCAATGACCCAAGTCCATTCTGCCTTACCTCACCCTTCGTGTTTCAGTGTCCGTATTAATGAGCGGCATCGACGAGGGATGGAAGACAATAAGAAATTGGCTTATCGGGCGCCTGGGTGGCTCAGTGGGTTAAGCCGCTGCCTTCGGCTCAGGTCATGATCTCAGGGTCCTGGGATCGAGTCCCACATCAGGCTTCTTGCTCAGCAGGGAGCCTGCTTGTCCCTCTGCTTTCTGCTCTCCCTGCTTGTGCACTCTCTCTCTGACAAATAAATCTTTAAAAAAATTTAACTGTATCATGAAATGTTTCAAGCATAGAAAAATGTATTTAGAACAACACAGTATTCCCTATGATGTATAGAGAATAACATATCCATATAGCATCATTAAGAACAAGAGTCTAGAGTCAAACCTCCCCACTTCTGCAGTTATACCTGTGTGATCTTAGGTCAATTTCTTAACCTTTCTGTATCTCAATTTCCTCATCCACAAAATGGGGATAAAAAATCGTACCTACTTTAAAAAATGACAGAGTTCTTCTCTTAACCTTTTTTCATTAGTGACCCCTTTGAGTATCTAACGAAAATCATAGATCCTGGGGTGCCTGGGTGGCTCAGTTGGTTAGGCGACTGCCTTCAGCTCCGGTTGTGATCCTTGAGTCCCGCTTTGGGCTCCCTGCCCGGCAGGGAGTCTCCTTCTCCCTCTGACCCTCCCCCCTCTCATGTTCTGTCTCTCTCTCTCCCTCTCAAATAAATAAATAAAATCTTTTTTAAAAAATCATAGATCATTTCCCAGAAGAATATACATAAACATACAATTTTGTATATAATTTCAGGGTGTTCACAGAGATAGGGTCCCACAGCTCTAGTATTCTGTGATTCTACTTATAAATTGAGACACTGAAACATGGCTTTATCAAGGTGGCTTTTAATTAAAGGAAATTTCATTTTTCAGTTGGTCTTCCCAGTAGTAGACATTAGCTGGCATTTGGTCTTGAGCTTTAGCACGGATCACGGCAGGACATTGTGCATTGGTAACGTATACAAATAAGAGCTATGGATGCGCCATATTCAGGAGACTCCCTGAAAGCATCCTAGCCAGTCCTCAAGTGTGATCCTGTCTTACATTGTCTGCAAAATTCACACCAAACTAAAAGACTTATCCTCAGCACTCTCAGCCTGACTTTAATCAGAGGTTCCTTCTGTTTTGTCTGTGTGTCTTCTCCACAGTTTGCCCCTCGGGGCTCATACATCATTGACACTCAACGTGCAGGGAACTCCTTGCAGCAATTATGTTCATGGAGGTCATTTCATCCATCAGCTTTCTCTTCGTGGTTGTACTGGAACTGGGACTCTTCCTTAATGTGCTTAGTGCTGCCTTCCAGAGGATTTCTTGAGTAACGGATGCTCGTTGCTCTGATGTGTTCTGATCTGCTATGAGACGACTCCAAGATCCGAGAGAGGAATCTCATTTCTTGATGGATCTGGACCTTTTGAGTTAGCTATAGAGTTAAACAAAATCTCTACAATTTTAGTAGAAATCTAGTATTGTAAACATCTTAGCAAAATTATGTCATATTCCTCATACTCTACACTGATGTAATAACATTCTTAAAGCCCAACATAATCATCAAAGGCAAGACTTTTGCAGGCTGCCTTGTGTCCTGTATATGATTATGTGGAATCTGTCTTCTTAACTCTGTCTCCTTTACTTTGTAGTGGATCTGACTGGTGGCTACAACATTGGCACCATCAGCCACAAGAGCCATGTGGATTGGCTGGAACTTAATGAAACAGGCCACAAGCTTCTCTTCAGGGACCGGAAACTCCGTGTAAGAAGGGTTACTAAGGCCTTAGCCATTGAGTAGTCCATAGAGGATGTGGTACTACCTGTTGCCAGGGATTGCGCGGGGCAGGATGGGCATAATTTCTTGGTGCACTATGCCATTAACATAGCAAAAGGCACAGAAGAATCAACATTGTGTCTGTTATCACAGCCCATCTGTTACCATAGCCCATCTTAAGAAGATGGTATTGTGATGGCACCAAAGCCGAGAGGGAAATTTGGGAGCTGGTTTCTCTGTTACTGTTCACAAGTCTGTGCCCTCGTGAGACGGCCTCATCCCCGCATGCCTGGCTCACCTTTACCCACACCTGTTGCTGCATTCGTCAGCTACACGTACCACACAGCGTTAAGGCTGGCTCAACAGTCTCCCCCGAACTCCTTATTGACTCTGATCTCAATATGATATCACCAAAGAGCTCCACCTCGAGGGCAAAGAAACTGGTGATTTTTCATTTCATGTTCATTGTGATGTGAAAGCCACATCACAAATTTCCTGACCATTTAATGTGCATGGTGGCCTTACTTTTGTGATCCAGTCTGGCAACTCTGGCCCAGAGTTAAACTCTAAGAACGAAAGTCTTACCTTCAGCTAACTTAAATTTCTGGGTGTAGCTCTGGGCTCACTTGGTCATCTCTGGGCCAGAGTCAGGAGGTACCAAGTCAGCATCAACGTCGAGCATCGCAGGCTAGTAAGCTTTGAAATTCAGCATCTGCCTGACTGGTGGGTCAGCTCGCCACATTTCATTAGAGAAATGGTCGATATCAGAAGCCTCCCCATAGCCCCTTCTGACTGTGCTGTCCACCTCTTTCTTCCGCAGCGGCATCTGTACGATACTGAAAGCTGCTCTAAGACGATGATGCTCAACTTCTGCTCCTGCGTGCAGTGGGTCCCAGGAAGTGACGTGCTGGTGGCTCAGAACCGAAACAGCCTGTGTGTGTGGCACAACATTGAGGCACCCGAGAGGGTCACCACATCCTCTCTTAGGGTACGTCGGTGCCAGGGGACCTCCGACATAGTGTCCCACCGATCAGTTAGGCCCTGAGGAAGCTCCAAAGGTTATTTGGTTTTCTCTGGCCCACCACCCATCATCTCTGTGATAGAGTCAGCAAGTAAAGCTTAGATCCTTCCCCACAGTGCGCTAGGCCCCAGAACCGTCCTTGTTCAGATTCCTGACATTGTGTCCTGTCCTCTCTATTGCAGTGGCCCTGGGAATTCACCAGGTCATAATGAGTTCTCTTAGGCTGGAAGAGCCCCCATAGCGGGGGCAGGTCTGTCAGTTCCTGGATGAGGATTCTCTGTTGTAAGCTGTTCAGAACTCCTTTTTTTATCAGACTGAAGATCAGTCACTCTCCTGTCCCGCCAGCATCACGTACATTCCAGCGACCTTCCAGAATCTGGGAGGGAAACAAGAGAGGCCCCTGTGCTAGGCTAGGATGAGTGGTGTGGGTACAGAGCGAGCATGTGATAGTTCTTTTTGTCTTTTTTCTATATCTCTTCTTTCCCTCCTCTCTTTCCTCATTTTAGACTAATTAAGTTTGGCGTTTGGGGGTTCTTTTGTCCTTTTTTTTTTTTTTTAAGATTTTATTTATTTATTTGACAGACAGAGATCACAAGTAGGCAGAGAGGCAGGCAGAGAGAGAGAGGCTGAGCAGAAAGCCCGATGTGGGGCTTGATCCCAGGACCCTGGGATCATGACCTGAGCCGAAGGCAGAGGCTTTAACCCACTGAGCCACCCAGGCACCCCTGTTTTGTCCTTTTTAAAACACATTTTTCACATTTTTGCTTTGGAGGTCATACCTTTGACTCCTATAGTAGTCACCCTTGGAAGTTGACCATACCCTTAAATTATTCTGAATAGTTTCAACTTATTTAGCATCTGACCTCTGGCAAATGATACAAGGACCTGAACTTTGATTACCTCCTCTTTGCCATTATTGCCCAGTATTTTTTTATCCCCAAAGTGAGACGTTATTCTTCTACACAGCCGGAATTTGGTTATATTTGCCATCATGGTGCCAGTTTCTCTGCTCACTCTTTTTGCATTGCTGACCTTTGCTCTGGAGTTACTTCCTTGAGAGAAAGTGTTTCGAAGATGAACGCTCAGTTTCTGAAAATTATCGAAATGGAATGATTTGGAAATGTTTTTATTTGGCGTGTTCTTGAAAGAACAGTTTGACAGTTTTTCTTAGTCTTTTGCAAATACTATTGTCCCATTGACTGATCCCCTTAGTTTCTGAGAAGTTTATTCACAGCTCCTTGTGTTGTCTTGTTGCTTTTTTAAAAAAGATTCTATTTATTTATTTGAGAGAGCAAGGGGAGGGGCAGAAGGAGAAGCAGACTCCCCACAGACAAGGGGGGGGATGGGGGAGGGGCTTAATCCCATAACTCCAGGATTGTGACCAGATCTTAAGGCAGAGGCTTATCCTACTGAGCAACCCAGGCGTCCCTGTCTTGTTTGTTTTAAAGTCTTTTTTTTTTTTCAGCATTCTGAAGCTTCAGTACATTATGTCTGCATATAAATGTCCTTTTACTTAACTGTGCTTGGTGTGTATGTGCACACATGCGCGTTTGTGCACGTGTGTGCGTGTGTGTGAGTGTGTGTGTCCCATCTGCGAGGACACCTTGTTCCTCAGCCGTGAGCTCTTTAAACGTTGCTGCTTCTCTCGAACTCTTTCTCACCCTCAGAACTCTAATTAGGTGTGTGTTCTGTTTCTTGTCCTGTCTTTGTGCCTCTATAACCTGTTATTCTTCCTTCCTCCTTCTCACTCCATGCTACATTCTGGATAATTCCTTAAGAAACATCTTGCAAGGGGTGCCTGGGTGGCTTGGCCCTTAAGTGTCTGCCTTTGGCTCAGGTCATGATCCCGGGGTCCTGGGATCGAGCCCCTGCATGGGGCTCCCTGCTCAGCAGGAAGCCTGCTTCTCCCTCTCCCACTCTCCCACTCCCCTTGCCTGTTTCCTTCTCTCTCTGTCAAATAAATAAATAAATACAATTTTTAAAAGATTATTAAAAAAAAAAAGAAACATCTTGCA